CATTAACAAGAAATCCATTTTGCATACCCGATTGCTCGTTCCCGTCATTCAGATCCTGGGAAATAATACACATAAGTAAATCAACCTGAGTCAGAGAGCTGTAAGTTTTACGCAAGTAAAAAAAAAAACGGGTATGTTCCAACTTAAGAAGTAGTACCTCTGTAGAGACCAAAGCCCGGTCAGAAACAAGATCTTCAGTTCCCAGCATCAGTGAAGGATCAAACACAAACTGCTCTGTATTGTTGTCAATGGCATCAAAAAATGTAAGGTATTCCTCAAGCATATCAAAAGCAGAGGTATTATTATTATCAACAGGATTTGTGAGATCATTAGCTTCAAGAAATCCTCCATTGCTGTAAGGAAGACCATCAGGAGCATCAACAAATGGTTCATCAAGTAAGTAATCCAACAAATCATCAGACGGGTCGTGAGATTTGCTCGATTCTCCTCCTACATGTTCATGCTTCACTGCCATTGCATCCATTTCATGCTGCTGCTCAAATTCACAATATTGTTCACTGGCAGTCAGCAATGGATTTGGGGTGTCATTGATGGACTCTGCAGTCTGCAGGTCAGGTTTGCCATTGGCAGGTTTGGGATCCAATGGAGGAGAAACATCATATGGAACATCTGCTGATGCAAGAATCTAGCAGAAAAAAATATTTACAAAATAACCATGAAATAGTATTAATGCATAACAAAGCTTCTCAAAGAATAACCATATTATATAGAAAGATGACTATTCCATAGGAAGAAGATAGCGCACTGGACAGAGTTTCATAATCAAATTCAAAAGCAACTCGTAACGGCCAATGGCCGCAGATTATACTAAACATTTTGAATTGTAATTCAGAGTCCAATACCATTTTTTTTTCCAATGTTATTTTCTGTAATTTTTGTTTCATGTCAAAGAGAATCAAGTGTTCACACACACACGCACAAACACACACGGAGCCATAGTCCATAATCAGTTCGCATGCTAAAGAGAAGGTTCCAGAAAACAAATGTTAATAACTGGTAATCATATTAAAATGCAGCAGCTTCCATTACTATTGCCACTAATGCTGAAATCTTTTAATTCATTTTTCACTAGGCATTCCCTATTCTTTTACTCCCCAGATTGCAAAGCTAGCTAAACTGTCCAAGTGTAAACATACATGTAACTCTCTTTAACTCTTTGCTTTTAGATTTTTGGGTTTAAGGAAAAAAAGCCTACAACCTCCATGACAATGTGCCAAAATAGTTCGTCATTAAAAGATCACTAAAAGACAGCAGTTCACGTTTATTAGAACAGGCCACGTGGATAAGATATATGTCTAAGTTAACATTCATGTTGGCCTCATCAATTTTCGAGTGTGAGTGTGGTGGTGGGGTGCATAGCAGCTATAGCACTGACCTGCTGAAGGTCATCGCCATCAACATAAGCATCATCACCAAAGTCAACCTCTTCTACAACCTCAGCATTTGGGAAAAATTCAAACTCATCATTCTCCCATTCCTCGTCCACAAAAGGTGCACCATACTGTTCGCCGTTCTTTGGCCCTGAACCACTCTTCTGAAAGACTCGGCAAAGCACAAATGCATCCTACTCCAACAAAATATGTGATAGTTCTAAAAGTTAAAATCATAGGAATCATACACAAAACAAGTAAATAATAATCATAAGAAGTGAATTCAATGCCCATAAAATAACACTGATTGCAGATATAAAGCGACCAGACTACTTCTACTCCAATTTCAATTTGGGGAAGAATGGTCAATCCTTTTCTTTTGTGTTAAGTTTCTCGTGTTCCAAATATCATTTATGTGAGATTCCTACTTTTTTCTTTTTCAAGATAACCCCTACGGTCATGTTTCATTTGCATCTTTCAGACTAATTCAATCGACTGAACATGTAATATAAGGGGACCATACCTGAATGATCCCAGCTTTCACCAACTCCAAGTCAGCAAGTCTGTACTCGTGCATAACCCAATTAGTCCTCTGGCCCTTTGGAGCACGACCAATATGATAAACAAGAGTTTTCTTCATTCCAACTATCTGTGTTTTATGGTAGACAGCCCTGTCTTTTCCAGTTGTCTTCCAATATCCTTTTTCAGTGGCACGATTGGTCCTTGCTCCATTACCATACTTCTTGTCTAGAACACTGAAGAAATACCATTCAAGATCTCTACTCTTCAGCTTTGAGAAACCTACAAGAAACGGCCACAAATAAATATCACATCAATTTCAAGATTAGTAATGATAAGATGAAAATTTGAAAGATGAAACAAAAATGACTAGTAATGATAAGATGAAAATTTGAAAGATGAAACAAAAATGACAATCAAAATGTCGCAATAAAAACATGTATCCTTGCATACTCAGAAATGATGTAAAGCCCAAAGTGATGACTAGATTTAAGAAGAACTAATATATGCAATAAATGAGGCATGCAACTACTTCTGAAGCAGTGGATCAACAACAACAACAACAACAACGAACAACCTTAACACCACATACCCTAAAAGCGGCGAGGCCATGGAGCTGCCTACCTCGGCAGCCTATGGCGTCCTGGACTGCGGCGAGGCAATTTTCAATAGCCTCTGTTGGGGCAGGCCATGGCGAGGCCACAGCATAGCCATCTAAAACTATGCTCGAGAACAGTGATGCAACGCAATATAGTCTCAATCTTAACCAGTTCTAATCAACTTAAAATATCAGAACCAGGGAAAAGAGCCAATACACTCTGGAATTAAACCCATTACAATCACATTAGATCTGTGTTAAACCCCAACATGCTAGTTTCAATTTGGCCATACTTATAAATGTTTCTCAAAATGATTCACTAGCTAACCGATCTTCACAAAAATAAAGATGCAAGAATCAGACCCAGAGAATTAAAAGCACAAAACCCCCCCAAAAAAGAACGGATAACAAACACTTACCCGTGAATAATATCCCATTTGAAGGAGAACGCAACATCAAACTAAAAAGATGATTAATTTGGCAAGTAACAATGAAGAAAACAACAACCCATCAATACAAAAGGCCACTTGAGATAATTTTTCAACTGAACTGTACACGAGAAAAAAAAAAAAAATTCTCGATTTAACAATAAACGAAACAAGCGAGGATAAGATGAGTTCAAGAGGCGCGTACTAGGTAGATCCCATGGCTCAGCCTTGTAGATGTCGACGTCGGAAATTGCATCAAATAGAAAACCCTTGCCGCATACTTTCCGCCTCAGATAGTAGCGCACCAACTCCTCGTCCGTCGGGTGGAAACGGAAACCTGGAGCCAGCAGACTCGATGATGATTTCTTCTTCACCACAGTAGACAACGCCATACATACAGATTGAGGGTTCGTTCTTGAATTTTCGGATTTATTAGATTTAGTAAGATTTAAGGGGTGGGTGGGTTAATGAGGGTTGGAGAGAAAGGAAGTCGCCATTGATTTTGTGGCCGCAGACCCTTGTACAAGTAGAAGAATGGCTGACGCATATACGTGTGATTATAAAAAGGTAAGAGCGCCTGCAAATTTACAGAAAACACCCTTGAAAAAGAAGAGAAATAAAAGTATTGGAATTGGATTATAACTTTTTTTTTAAAAAAAAAAAAAATTGTTTTATATGAAAAAGTGAAATAAAAAAAGTAGAAACAAGTAAGAAAAGGAGAGATAAATTTAAAATCTCAAATAAATTTGAGTTAAAATGTGATAATTAAACTTGATATGACATAAAATAATAGAATATTGATTGATAAGATTGGTAGCTACAACTATAAATATATGATTAGGTAAATAGTTTTTTTAGAAAAATATAATAATTATCATATTTTTGTTTTTTTATTATCAAACCTTTCCTAATTCTTCTTTAATTAAAAAACTCATTTTCAAAGTAATTTTGCAGTATTTGTTACATCGAACAATAATTCTTCTTTAATTAAAAAACTTATTCTCAGACTCAAAATAATATTCACACCAACTATAAAATCTATAAAAATAATTATGATTTCCCACCGATTTGGTCCTAAATAATTAAAAATTTTAAACATTTTTTGTATTTTTTTCTATATCATTTTAGTAGTTATTTTCTTTACCATCTATGGTGAGACATTTACTTTTATTTTCAGTGATGGGATACCAATAATTAATCTAAATCTATTGACTAAATTCTTCATTATTTTTCAATCAATTTATTTTCAGTGATGGGATACCAATAATTTATTTACTTTTATGAAGGAGAAGTACTTTAGTACCGATCTTCAAGAACAAGGATGATGTTCAAAGTTGTGGTAACTACCGTGGAATTAAGTTGATGAGTCATATGATGAAGCTCTGGGAGAGGGTTATCGAGCATCGCCTACGAAGAGTGACGAGTGTGACCCAAAACCAATTTGTGTTTATGCCTAGAAGGTCGACCATGGAGGCGATTTTCCTAATACGACAGTTTATGGAGAGATGTAGGAACCAAAAGAAGGACTTGCACATGGTCTTTATCGACATTGAGAATGCTTATGACAGAGTACCGAGAAATTTCATGAGATGGGCCTTAGAAAAGCACAAAATCCCATCTAAGTACATTACTCTCATCAAGGATATGTACAAGGATGCGATGACGTGTGTCCGATCATGTGGGTTTCCAATTAAAATAGGACTACACCTGGGGTCAACATTGAGCCCTTATTTATTTGCCTTGGTGATGGATGAGGCCACAAGGGACATACAAGGTGATATCCCTTGGTGTATGCTATTTGCTGATGATTTGGTGCTAGTTGACAAGAGTATGACAGGAGTAAATAGGAAGTTAGACCTGTGGAAGGACACGCTAGAGTCGAAATGCTTCAAAATTAGTAGGACGAAGACCGAGTACATGACGTGCGCTTTCAACATGGCTACTCATGATGATGGTGACGTTAGCCTTGACGGGCAAGTGGTGGCCAAGAAGGAGACTTTCCGGTATTTAGGATCGATGCTACAAAAGGATGGCGGCATTGAGGAAGATGTTAGGCATAGAATTGCAGCCGGTTGGTTGAAATGACGTCAAACTTCGGGCGTTCTATGTGATAAGAGGGTGCCACAAAAGCCAAAAGGTAAGTTTTATAGGACGGCGATTCGCCCGGCGATGCTATACGGTGCTGAATGTTGGCCTACAAAAAGGCAACATGTTCAACAACTAAGTGTAACAGATGTTGTAAATATTTTTAACCGGAGTAGAACCCAAAGATTCGACACCGGGTCGTGTCACAAGGAAGGTTAGCCGGATTATTTTGCACGATTATTCAACACACGAAAATAAGAAAAGAAGTCCTAAACACTCTAATTCAAGATTGATAGTTTGATTTAACGACTACTAATAGTAAAGCAAGTGATTATGAAAGCAAAACAATGAATTCTAAACTTATCAATTAAAACACAAATTCCAATAGTTTAAAGGGACTAGGGTATCGGGGACAATCGTATCCGGTTCTCAATACATTAAACGGGCAATCAATTACTCAGCTAATGGACAAACAATAACCAATTCATCTAGAAATTCATTCTCAATATCTCACGAAACAAGAGAATAAACATAAACGAGCAAGTATCGAATTCATTAGCACATAGACAATACGTTACCGAACAAGTCTATTCTAAACAAGCCGAGGTCGATCGATTTCTCTCCTTTCGGTTCTAAAATCA